CCCCCCCCCCCCCCCCCCCCCCCGTCTCACTCGCTTCTGCCACGCAGCGCAAGCTCTGCAGCGCATCACACCCGAACAGCTGGCACAAGGCATGCAAGTGAGCCCCTCTAATCCCATGGACGGATTGCAAGGCAGAGCAGGTCTGCTCAAGAACCTCGGAGATACGCTGGCTAGCGATCAGCATGGCATCTTTGCAGGTGCAGGTGGTGGTGGTGGTGGTGGAGCAGACGATGCTTCTCATCGCAGACCCGGCTACCTGATCGGTGCGTGGGGGAAAGGGGGAGGGGGGTGGTGTGAAGGGAGATGCAAGCTAGTCTTGAGTCGCTCACTCTCCCGCCGCCGCTGCACCCGCAGACTACCTCGCTTCGCACCCCAGCACCACGCGAGATGAGCACGATGAGGTTCAAATCCAACTCTCGACGCTCTGGCATGCCCTCATTGTCGGCTTGGCTCCCGTATGGCCCACAGAAGGTCGGATGCACCTCAAAGGGGAAAGTCTGGGCGATGCCTGGTCCTGTCACGCCTTGGCCCGAGAGCTAAACATCGACCAGACGGACCCCGCTTGCGTCGTTCCATTTCACAAGCTGACACAAGTGAGTGGAGTGGGACTGACTAACTTGACTGGCTGGCGCGCAACCATTCCCTTGCCCTTTGCCCCGCACACCATTGACAAGCGCTCACCTACGTGCCTCCCCCCCGCGTAGTGGCTGTGCTACAGCATCGTCGAGCCGCTGGAAAAAGTGCTGGGTTGGCAAGTGATCGGCAAAGAGGCTCAGACTGGTCTGCCAGAATACCGAAATGGTGAGAGGGGGCCGGCGAGTCCGGGCGGGGCGAGGGGAGAGTGTTTCGGCGCCCATGCTCACCTGTCGCATCGCATCACATCGCAGGAGGTCTGCTGATCGACCTGGGCGTGCTCGTACCTCGCCCAGCACTGTACCAGGCAGGCTCGTGCGAATTGAAAGGAGAAGGAGGAGGAGGAGGAGGCATACCCACGCTCAAACCTTCGCATCAAGCAGTCATCGAATGGAGAAGCCTGACAGTCGTCCTGCTCGATCGCATCGCCGACGGTATACGCCATCAGCTGGGCTTGAGCAGCTCACAGCTTAGACTGGCACAGGTGCTAGAGAGCGCTACGTGGAAGGGAGGAAGGGAAATCGCAAAGCAGAAACGCGACGGCGCTCCTCCCATCGTGAGTGGCCCACGCGCGCGCGCGTGTGACTGAGCAGCCGCAAAAGGAGCGCAGAGGAGCGATCTTGGCATTCTCGCACCACGCTAACACACGCAGCACCCTGTCTCGCAGACCATAGATAGCGACGGCACCATCTTTTGAAACGCGCACGCACGCTTCTCTTGCACCGCATGTATTCATCCCATCGCAACAGCTGCGCCGCTGCGCTGGCCCCCCTCCCCCGCCTCACCCATCAAACTCGTCCATCTTTCCGCGAAGAGCGTGTTCATCTTCATCTTCGCTATCGATCTGAGCGCCCTGTTGCGCAGCGCTCGTGCTCGTATTGACCGCTTCGGGCCTAAAAGCGCCCTTGGCCTGTCCACCCGCTGCTCTTCTCTGCTCGCCCACTTTCAAAATCGCACTCTGCGGAATGTTTCCGCGCGGATTGAGATAGTCGAAATCTGGACCTTGAAAGACGTCGAGATAGTTGAGCCACTTTGCAAATTCTGACGTCTCTTCTTCCGTCTTGATGATGCGATCGTAGATAAAGGTCTGCTTGAACGCTTGCATACGCTCGCCAAAGTCCTTGTAAGTGACGGGCGATCGCTCCTCTGCCCCCGGCTGAACTTTGGCCACCTTGAGATTGTAGCCGCCAAAAAGCGGCTCTTCTAGTAGCAGACCCAACCCTGGCGCTTTGGGCACATGGATGCGCGCAGGTCCATACGTCTCTGGAATCAGCGATGCTGGTGCTCCCGTGCGTCCCACCAGCACCAGCAGGCCAATCATTTTGCGCTGCCGAGCGAGGCGGACAGGAAGGAGTGAGCGGCGGCTTGCGTGGGTGTGCGCATCACTCACAATCTGGTGAAGCATAAAGGACTGTCCATGAAACTTGATCGACAGCCATTCCGTCCCGTCGATCTCCTTTGGATCGGAAATCTGTGGACAGCAGTCGCGTCAGCAGCATATGCGGGCACGCACCGGCACGCACCGGCACGCACCGGCACGCCACCGCTCCCCCACAAGACCACACGCACCTCGAGATGTTTCATGACGCGATGCGCGCTGCGATCTCTAAAAGACTTGCCCACCGTGTAATTGTGGAAATTGTGACTTCCCGCATACTTTTCAAAGGCTTGCCTTACGCGCTCCACATGCTCCCCATCCATCCTCCACTTTTTCTTCTTCACCACATCCTCCGCATAGCTCTTTTCCGTCCCTTGGCTCCTCCAAAAGGGATGCTGCAGCAGCTGGCCCAGCAGCGAGACGTCTTTGCCATGTTCGACGCTCTTGTCGTGCCAGTGCTTGAGCAGATCGTGCATGCTGCTTCCTGGTTTGGGCGGCAAAAAGACGTACGTGGGCAACAGGTACTCGTACATCCTCGAGTCGCAGGATGTCCTAGCGTTGAAACTGTTCTGCACGCGCGTGAGACCCCAAATGCGCACATACTCTGGCAACAGATCGTTCACTGCACCCACCACTCCACCTTGCGGCACGTTGGGAGGCTCTAGGATGAGCTTGAGTGTGAGGAGATTACCAGCGGCATGCACGCCGCGATCTGTTCGAGCAGCTCGTTGAAGGCCGACCTGCGTGTGCGTGTGTGTGCGGGCGCGGGCGCGTGTCAGTTCATCCCTGCACCCTGATCAGCGCTTGCCCTTTGCCCGACGCGATGGCTCACCTTGACGGGATTGACAGCGTTCTCTTTCGAGACTGCTCCCACCTTGCAAAAGGCATCGAAAATGTCTCCCTCGATCGTCTTGACGCCCGGATTGCTGATGGTGAGTGTGAAGCGCGGAGCGTGAGAGGCAACGCCATGGGGAGGTGGATCGCGCCGCAGCCCACTCACATTTGCAGACCAGAGTAACCGATACCGCAGTAGCCAAAGTAGATGGCCACTTTGCGTTTCTAAAGTGCAGTACGAGCACGTGAGTGATTGCGATCGCCCTCTTGCACCCTTGCACCCTCGCATCCTCGCACCCTTGCACCCTCGCACCTTCGCACCCTCGCACCCTCGCACCCTGCCCCCCCCGCGCTCACTCACCGGCAATCTTGCACCCCTTTCACCATCCTCGCCCACTGCTCTGCTCTCGCCTCCACCTCTATCGAAGCTGACATTTTGCCCGACATTTCTATTGGGTCGCAAGTCCCTGCCTCGCACATCCTCTTCATCGTCTCCGTCTGCAACAACGCGGCCATCAATGCTGCCACTCGTGCTGGCCTGGGCCTGGGCGTCGGTGTGGACATTGGCACTGGATTGGCCGAGCTGCTGCTCATTCCCATTCCCATTCCCATTCCCATTCCCATTCTCATTTCCCATCTCCGTGTCCCTGTCCCTGTCCAGCTTGATACGTTTGGATGACTGCTGGCCGGCTTGCTCCGTACCGCCCTGCTCCGTACCCGCACCCGCACCCGCATCCTCTTGACCTCGTTTGAGCTGCGGGGCAGCTGGGACAGCAGCTGAATGGGACATGGTGCTGGCGCCAAAGAGGGGCGATAAAGTGGAGCGGGAGCGCACACAGACCAGCCTGCTGTATGCGCGCAAGGACGAGCCAGAGCAGAGGGAAAACGTGTTGAGTGGCGGTGCTGCTGGTGAGCGTGAGTGTGTGTGGGTGTGTGTGGGCGTGAGTGGGTGTGAGTGGGTGTGAGCGGGAGTGGTGAGGCACAGTCATCAAACCAAGAGTCGAGAGGAGGTAGCGTGCGCTCTCTGCCCCCCGCCCGCACCCTTATACTTGCCATTTCCCGCACGGGGCCGCGGCCACCAAAATTCAAATCAGGATCAAAATCAAAATCAAAATCAAGAGTCAAGTGAATCACAATCACGTGGATCTATGATCGAAAATCATCGCCGCAATGCGCGGCACGTGACTCGGGTGCATGCAGCAATCTTAAATCTTAAATCTTAAATCTTGAATTGCCTGATGCCGATAACAACGCTGGCAGTCAAGGGTCAAAGTCACAACACAACAGCCCGATGCTTACTCTTCTGCAAAGCGGATCGAGATTGCCGCGCGCATGCACCACTTATCCGCCTGCCTGCCTGTCTGCCTGCCTGTCTGCCTGCCTGCGTGCGTGCATGCATAGTCAGCACAATCGCCGCGGTCAAGGTGACGAGTGCACGTCCATCTCTCCCCCTCCCTCTCCCTCTCTCGCCCTCTCCATCACCCCGCAACCACTCCGCTCCACCCCCACTCCACACAACTCGCCAGCAAAGATGGGATCGCTACTGTCTACCGATCGCAGCAGCGCATCCGGCCCACGCCCACGCGCCAACCTGTCGACCAGAGGTGCCAGGAATGCGGCCGAGTTTGCGGATTTTGCCAAAAAGATGAAGTTGGCGAGGAATGTGTATGATCAGCGGCACAATCCAAACGGTATCGTCATCCTGGGCG